ATATTTTATTTTTGAGTGGAAAGGAAATATTTTCAAATACTTGGAAATGTGTGAATGAGGAAGGAATACTAAATAAAGCTGGAGTTGGGTCTCACGGTTATAGACCCAAAAGCAGGGAGAAAGGAGAGAAAGGCCAAAAGATAAATTGTAGTGAGAAAGGTTAAATAGACCTTTTGTTATGCAAATATTGACCATTAATTTTCCAACATATTCACTTCTTTATCTTTTGTACTTTCTCACCTTTCCCCACATTTGGGTGTCTAAATCTTTGAGTCCCAACTCCAGCTTTATTTAGTATTCTTTCCAGCATTGCAAGATTTGGCTATTCTCTTTTTAGTTTGGCATAAACAATATCATTTGGTGCATTGGCTACTTTTTGGGCTACATACTATTTATAAATATATTAGTTGAATAAAAATGCACTTTAAAATGGTGTTTTGTTGTTTTTATTAAGTAGAGACCCAAATGGAATAAATATTTGTTTTTCAAATAAATTTTTGTTTGTCTCCTTCATAATAAATTTATTTATTTCTAAGTAAAAAAATTGAAAGTGTCATAGAAGTAATTTTTTGAAATATCGTTTTTGTGATAAAGTTTTAATATTTACTATAATCTAAATATATGTTAATCCTTAAATATACAAGTATATTTAAGGATTGGACCACAAGTATATTATATATGCTTGTGGCCCAAAACTCCAAGACTTCTTCCAACATGGCCCAGAAAAACAAAAAGATTGGACACTCCTGCTTTAGACGTAAGATTCCTTTGGCTTTTGCGCTCGTACAAGGGAGTCAAAAAACCCTCATTCGGAGCTTGAATCGTGCCAACAGTTGGTCAAACTTTATCTACGTGCACAGTCATAGCCGCAGTGGGGACAGTGCGGCCATGACGGTGCGCGTACGTAATGTTTAACCCAACAGTTTTTTGCATCATTTAAAACGGATTTAATTATGAAGCAAATTAATCAATTTGTTCCTTCGTAACTGTTAAGACGATACGAACTTCTAATTATGCGCTCGGCTCCAAAGAAAACAGTAATTAATTAATAGTCAAACTCGAAAATAACTACGCAAAATTTATCGATTATAAAGCTTACCTCCCATTTCGACCGCAATGGATTCGGTCAAAAGCACGGAAGGCATGACTACACAATCGACCACGCCAAAAGAGACCTTTCGTGACGAAAAGATCGTCTGCCTCCCGATTGGGAGCGTTGCCAACTCCTCAGGAAAAAAAGTCTATTATTTATGATTAAATTTCGATAATCGTTCTACCTTCTGTTTTAATTTCAAATAAATTAGTTCATTAAAAGAATAAATAAACTGAAAATCTTTTGTGCTTTATTACACTTTAAAATAATATCGTTTATTTGTCTTCGCTAACGTGTTCTTGGAATCGCGCGCTCGAAAAAGCTTCGTGTGGCCCACCAGCGGTCAAGTGGTTCCGTTCCCCGAACACTGGGAGTTCGGTCGTGGGTTCGTACCTAGTCAGGACAGGCGTGGAGTTTTCCGGGTTTTCTCCACGTTTGTAACGCCCGAATCGGGGCCAGTTACCCTTTAAAAGTCCTCCCGGAAGTCATTATTCCCCGCGTAACGATCATCATAAACACATACGACTACTATTACGTGACAATTACCACACACTTTGCCACGAGAGATGTAGCCTAGAAGCTCGTGCCCAACTAGATATTACAAGACAAGATAATATTAAAGAAAAAAAAAAGCTTCGTATGTACTGTTTGAATATCGGCAGATGATTAATTGTCCGCATGGACGTACTAGTCGGAGGAGCATGGGACCAACTACCCATACAAATTCAACAACGGAAAAATTCGGGAAAAGCGAGGGGGAAAAACACACACACAAATAAAGGAAGCAAAACGTAAACAAATTATAGGTGACTGCAAATTAAAAATTGGTTTTTGTTTGTGCAAATCGATTCTCTCCGCCCTCTAATTAAAGTGTCTCTGTATGCCCGTGTTCGTTGTTGGTTTAGGTGACTTCGAATGTAGTACCGCGGGAGTTTCTCCGTACATTGTAGCTTTATAGAAACGATTCTGTCCTACGTCAATCGGATATTTAAATTCAAATTTAAACATGATTTTTATTTTTCTTCTTTCAAACAAGAAAGTTGTAATTTCATTGGCGCTATTTAAAATGTTTATGGCAGCAATTTTTTAAAAATATAATCTCTTAATTTAGTTAAGAAACTTTCACGAATAACAGAAACAAAACACCTTTTTTGTTGCCGAGAAATACATATAATTTTGAAAAAAAAAAACGTTTTCAGCCCAATTAACAGGCCATCTTCAGATCGAAAACGAAATTGGAACGAATATGTTCCATGAATAGAATACAAAAATTTAAATCGAAAAAATTTTTACAAGAGAAAAACAACAACGGAAGAACATATAAAAATAGATAAAATTAAGATAAAACAAAAAATAACATAAATCTTCAAATATAATTTACTCTGGTCCGAGTTCCTAGTAAATTCCTTAAGGTTCTTTTTTCTGTGCTCATGAATAGTATGAATAGTGTTATAAAAAAAGTTGCTGGCCGAAAAGAATCAAGAATGGTTTTAAGAAGAGTCCCGAATTTGTATAGGATCTTGAGAAATGATAAGAATAGTATCAAAGGGGAGGAGAAAGCAGGTGTGTATAAAATTCATTATGTAAACTTCCAACTGGATGTTAAAAAAGACTATATCGATCTCACCACCAGGAACTTGGGCGTAAGGCTCAAGGTGCATAGATATACCATAAAAAAGGGTCTAATGCAACGATTTCAGAAAATTACTTCTTGCACAGTTTTTTGCGCTAATTAAGAAAGAATGAATAGGTCATTTTGGCACATTTAAGCCGTTTTGCAGATATCGCGCCGCAAAATTATGTTTTGCCTGTGCAAACCTCCAAAAACACTGGCGATTGAACTCGGGGCGCTGACTAGAGCCTGGAATTATTTACGACTAGCATTTACGACTACACTCCTGAATAAAGTGTTAATTGAATTTATTTCACGGAGCTTTACCTATGATGATCTATTCATTGGGACATATCTAGCAAAAATTCATCCAGATGTAATGATGGTACATAATTATGATAATTACGATAACGACAATATGTGAGGTCAGCCTATTGGGATGAGGTGTTTTCGACAGCCGAGCGGTCATTACTGTCGTGTGGGCGCGGAATGACTCACCGAGATAGGTTTATCATATAAAACCGTTTAATTAATAATATACATAAATTGTTCTTACAATAATCCAATAAGTCAGGCGAAAGCCTGTCCAACGATAGGTTACTATAACAGTTCCAACAAAAACGGAAAAGTTCGACAGTTCGATCGGTCCTTGGGTATTTTCGGTACGCTGGACGCAGAGAACGATGGCCCCGGGGCACGCACCAGCACTTGTAGTGATGTCCTCGGTTGACACGTCGAACCTCGGCGATTCTGGACGTGGCGGGTTGGCGAACCAGGTTCTAGGGCGTCGAAAGAGCCTACGTTGTATCTCTGTCGTGAGCACCGAGCTCCAGCAGGTGCTCACGACAGAGATACGCACCAAAACCCAAGACCCCGTAAAGTTCCCGAAAACGCGGTTTTATTGATTTTTCCACCTCCGTAGCCTCTCCATTGGTCTCTCCTCATCACATGGTGACAATTCGAAACTCAACGAAGGGCGCGGGAGAGGTCAACTTCGCGTCGGAACACGACTCCTCTCCAACCTCGATTTCTTCGACTTTATCTATTCTTTCAAATCTCTTAACAAGACAAAAGGTTCATTGTTTAAATCCGATCTTTAAAATGCCGTTTACGCCATGAGCTAGATTGAAGTGTATTCTGTTTGTATACAGTTAGGTGGTTTTGTTACAAACGTCAAAGTCATCAGTGAAAGATGATTTTACCATCTTCATGAACTATTCGAATACAACTTTCGAATAAATTTATTCGAAAGTTGTATTCGAATAGTTCTTGAAGATGGCCTATTGGAATTGGGCTGATAACGTTTGAAATTAAAGTAATAATAAGCTCAGCAAGAGTTTGGTGTTTTGTTTATATTATGTTTATTAACGCTAGTTAGCTGCCATTTTAACGGAAGTAATTTTGCGCCTACTAAAGCTACACATGCTCAATGGCAACCAATACCATCTATATGGACTATAGCAGACGGCTGGATGACCGAGCGATTAGAATGGCAACTTACCGCTCCGATCATCTGGAATTAAATCCAAACGGGTCGAAAAACCTCAAGAAGTTTTCGGTGTGTGATCCGTTTCAATATATTGGGACCCCGTTTCTCATCACTTGGCCGCCCCATTGTAGGGCTGGCCGAACGCATAATGGGTTAACAAAAAATGCCCTCTAAACGTCCACGGGGCAAAGAGTTAGACGACCGGATGGCCGAGCGGCAAGGTGGCAGCCTACCTACCGCTCTGGGGAACCCAATTTCGTATCCGGATGAGTCAATAAATTTCCAGGAATTTTTCGGGGGTGATCCGTCCGAATACGTTCGAGCCCCCGTCCCTCACCACGCGGCCGTCCAATTGTGGGCTTACCTAAACCCATAATGGGTTTGCAATAAAAGGTCCTCTTAGTGCCCACAGTGTGAAAAAAGTTAAAAAAATTTTATTTTCTGTAATCATAAATAATATTTTTTAAATATAAATGCAGTAGAGAAAAATCTAACACCTTTACTTTAATCAATGTTTATTTTGAAAATTGTAATAATTTTTATTTTAAAAATGAAGTAAAATCGTGTTTGTGAAAAAAAAAGCCACTAGAGGGCGAGGTAAATAACATTAATGGAGGTAAGTGTTGTTGACGTGTGCCGACTTATTTGTGCTTTTGTTTTAATTTAACGATTAATGATGAAATAATGATCGAGTTTCGTCGTCGGACATCACCGTTTATTGGCTACGTTTTTTTAAATGTGCGTTTAACGTAATAAAGAAACGTGCATCAAAATGGATGCCAAATTGCAGTGTCCAATTCACCATAGCTTGGCCATGGAGGCCAGAAAGGCGATGGACGTTGGACCTCCCAGGAAGAAAAAAAAGAATTACCGCTTCCACGAGGAATGGGAGTATAAATATTTGTTCACCGTAATTAACGAGAAGTGTACTTGCATGATATGCCGCGGAACTATCGCCATCAGTAAGAAGAGCAATCTAGAAAGACATTTCACCACTATGCACAAGCAGTTCCCTCTCGATTTTCCCGAAGGCAGCAACCTACGGTCCAAAATAGTGAACGAACTGAAGAACGCCCTCCATTCTGTTCAGCCTGCATCCAAGAAGCCTGTTGGGAAGTTGCGCAGGGTGGCCGAGGCCTCGTTCAAGATTGCGCACCTCCTGGTGAAGCACAAGAAGCCGTTTACCGATGGCGCCTTCGTGAAGGAGGCCATGCTTCTGGCGGCCGAGTCCCTGTTTGCCGACAGGGACGACGGAGACGAGTTGACGGAGATGATCAGGGGAATGCCCCTCAGTTCGTCCACTGTGACCAGGAGGGTGGAATCACTGGCCGAACATCTGCGCCGGAAGCTGGATGAAGACCTCCTGTCTTGCGAGTATTTCTCTGTCGGGGTTGATGAGGCAACAGACTCTGCCGATGCCACTCTGGTGGTGGTGTTCGTCAGGATGGCGTTTCGAAACTTTGAGGCAAGGGAGGAAATGCTTACGTTGGTACCGGTGAAGGAAAAGTCGGCTGACGTGGATGTCTTCGGAGAATTTAAGAAATACGTCGCGGACGAACGGATTCCGATAAATAAAGTCGTTTCGGTGATGGAGTGTACTCCGTCCAAATTGGTGAAGCATTTCGTTGAATCCTGTGAGAGAGATCCAGACTTTCCGCCGTTTATTACTTACTGTTCTGTGGAGCGCCGAAAGACGCTCTATGAAAAAAACGTGGACTTCGAACATGTTACGAGAGTCGTTACTAAAGTGGCGAATTATATACGAAGCAAGGCATTTAAAAGGTGTGAATTTAAAAGTCTTCTTGATGAACTAGATCCTAATTGTGAAGAAAGTTCTGATAACAGCTGGGTGAGTAAAGGAAAAGCTTTACAGAAATTTATAAATATTATTCCAGAGATAAAATTATTTTTGGACTCAAAGAATGAACGATATGACGAGTTGGCCGATAAAATGTGGTTGTTGGATTTGGCATTTTTAACTGATCTTACGCAAAAGTTAGATGAAATAAACAATGAATTACAAGAAAGAAATAAAACTATTACATCTTTAATTTATTCAATTAATTCTTTCAAAGTGAAAACTAATTTATGGATGTCTCAAATGAAGATAAACGATTTACAGAATTTTCAAAACATGAGGAATTTTATAAGAGCTTTTGAATGCAGCAACGAACATTCAAATGGCCAAGATCAATTCAGAATTAATACGTACGTTAACTATCTGAAAAAAATGAAAGACGAATTTGATAGGATATTCCAAGATTTAAAGAAAATAGAACCGATAGTCATGTTTGTCTCAAATCCTTTTATGGATATAAATGTAAGTGATTTTGCCGACAGAGTGGAAGATTTATTGCATATAGATAATAGTATATTCGAAATGGAAGTGATAACTTTACAAAGTGATCTCCATTTAAAAGCAAAAGGTAACGATTTTGAATTTTGGAAATTAGTGGATCAAAAGAAGTATCCGTTATTGGTCGAAATCGCTTTAAAAGTGAAAGCATTTTTTGGCTCTACGCATTTCTGTGAGTCAGCTTTAACAGAAATAAAATTAATAAAGTCAAAGTGCCACTCTAACGTATCAAACAATTTATTAAATAGTTGCATTAGAGTCGGAGTCTCGAATTATGAACCAGATTTTTTAAAACTGGCCGAAAGCATGCAGTGCCAAGTGTCACATTGATTTGGCATCAGGAGTTTTGTACTGTTTCTATTTTGTCTGTTATATTTTTAAATTACAAAAAAAACTACATGTCTGTTAACAATTTTTGTGTTTAGACAATGTATTTTAAACAGAACTAAAATACAGTTTTTATCAAGTTCTCAGTTTTTTCAGATTCATGTGGAAATATACACATAAATCATTTTTTGATTCACAATCTGATTTTTATTCAATTGACGGTTATTGTAATCTATATTAATCACTAATATTGGAATTATATTAATGTATCAAACTTACAGCCAGCATTTGAAATATAGGATGGTCAAGAAGTCAGTATTATAAAGACTAATTGGATCTTGTTTATTAATAGGACTTATACTAGTGTAGTTTCTGATTAGCAAAGAGAGGATATCTTAGTTAAAAGTCAAAAAACAATATATAATATAACAGG